AGAGCGGTGTTATGCACTAAGTCACATGAGGGGGCCTTGAAGTCATAACGTCTTAACTTACGCCTAAGGTACGAACTTACACCTTCATCTCATCTTCATCATATGTGTCTCTTTGGTCAACTTACAAACAGCAAAATGTCCGCCTAAAACAGGAAAGGATGCATTTTCCCAACTTTGACAAACTGATACTCGTATGTGAAGCAGTTACATCCTTACCAACTCCTGACTGAATTAACGGTCAGGAGCTGAACTGAATTAACGGGCTGGCAAGAATTAACGGGAAATTTTGGAGACGTGGCAGGAGAGGAATTCGCGAAAAAGACGTTGAAATCATATCTTCGGATTAGATTATGTCTTTTGTTCATAACGAACGCTGTTTTTAGATATTTCCTACATTCTAAGAAAAGCCGATTCAAAATTTCACGCTACACACTCATCGTGGAGGGCAACAAAATTTAAAATTCCGTGCACAATGTAGAATTGTCATACTCTTACTAGTTTCGTGGTTCATATGTCTCATTAGTGTACACTCTGATATACTATGCAACCTCTTTGTTCAACGCTTGAAATGGTTATTTTGTTATAATGCATAACGCAATTGCTAAAACTCTTCTGAACGTTGATAATTACGACCGAATAGAGGTCAGTCACGTGATCAATAGAGTTTAAGGATGTCTTCTTACGCCTGGCGCTAAAACTCTCTATTCACAATTTGTAAAACTCTACCAGCCTAAACCTTCTCTTTTGCATTCATATAAATTATTAATTTGGCATTTTTTAAACATGAATTATTTTATTGTAATATATTCGTTTGTCATTTAATTAATTTATACTTTATGATTTTAAAATATAAATAAACAGATAAATTCGGTACAGATAATATGCGACAATACTTTCATACATTTGGAATTAACTTTTCAATGGATCGAAAAGGGGGGGGTTGGAATATTTTTATTTTCTTCTACAGGACGCCCAGGTCCAGAAAAGTTTGGAAACTTGCGGTCCCGAGGATACCTAAGAGCTTCTCCAGAAACATCCACCACTTAGCAGGTGTCCCCATTACGCGTATTTCACTGAAAACCTAAACCTTGGGCGATTTTGATTTGTACGTTACGCATACGAAAATTACAAAAAAATGTCAACTATTAGCAACATCCTTTCCAAAATTCATATAAGAACCACGCTAATCCGAACAAAATTCTGGATGGAGGGAAAAAAAAACCCTTGTTTGTAGTGTAAAGAATGGATCTATAAATGTAGAGCTGAACAACTAATTATTAAAACAAGTTGTACAAATGAAACGTTTACTGCACTGGTAACTACGGTGTATATTACATGTTTATGTACCAGTAATTTTCACTTAGAGGAACTTGCAAAATCGGTCATCTTCATTTGCCGTAAGGAAATGAATCTGTTTCATGATGCGATCGCTGGACTAAAGATGCCTTTTTCTCACATCGCACGCTACATTACACTGTCTGGTAATCCTATTGATGTATATGTATTATACTGCGATTTATGCAAGTCAGCCTTTGGCAGAAATCAGCTATTGACGGTTTCATCCAACCACCATAGTGACGTTCAAGCTCCCAACTGCATGAAACCGACAACAGCTGATTTCTGCCAGGGGTTTATGTGCATAAATCGCAGTATATGTACGGCAAGTGTTTTCGGAAAATACGAATATTTCCGAATCCGAACACGCAATTAGTTTGGATACCGGGGTTCTACAGATTTTTCATAACAAATTAGGGCGTCATGAAAAGTATTATCGCAGGGACATGGGAGCTATTTACAAAGTAGCGAAATATGTGAAGAAAATGAAGAGTTACACCTACTTATTACGCATGCAAGTTAACCAGACAAGTCCACCGCGGATCGGCTTGACCTTCATGCCAATGTTCGAATAACATTTCTGACTATTTGCCAGTGGGGTGAGGATAGAAAGATGTTGCCTCTTACTCAGCCAACATATACGTGGTTGGGTGGCCGTTCTTGCGATAGATCACGAGAGCAAGAAATAAACCGCAATAGAGCACACAACAGTAGTAGACAGAACTGCACACACGATGCTAAAACAAAAAAGTCACGGCGCTTTTAAACTTAGAGTTGTTTCGCGCTATTAGATTTCTTAATACGCATTGCAACTCTCCAGTGACATCAAAATTTGAAGCCTTTGATTGGATACCGAAACCCCGTCTCCTCTGTTAGCCAGGAGCTGTCAAATAGACTGAAGTATTATTCACAGATTAGTTACGCAAATTGTAATTATTCCTTACATAATACAGTATTAACATTACGTAAAATTTCAGTGGCGATAAGGTAATAACCAATAATTTCATACTTATTAAAATAAAAAATAAAACACCCTAATGAAAGTCAACCACGACAATTTGTTTCGAAAAAAAGGTAAATTATTTCTGTGCTCTAATGAGAATAAAAGGCAGCCCGATTAAAAAATTAAGTAGAAATAAAAATGGTCAGTATTTTTTGTTCACTCACATAAAAAGTTGCATGATATGACCCTAAAATAAAACTTTCCTAAGTCGATATAGTTAATAATACATCAAGGTCGAAAAGTACGTTTTTTTCGAAAGACCGCAGTCCGTTTTGGAGGGGACCCACGAAGCTGCTCTTATATTTAAAAATAAATTTAAATAACAAAATCCCTATTGTGGCCTATACTACCATATTAAAATTAATTACAAATACAGATAACAACAAGAGTTTTCAGCAAGATTTAATAATAAGGAATTATTCGCTCACGTGTAATAAAATCTGCAACGGAAAATGAGCTGTAGATTTAGGCTACTATCTCTTAATGTGCCCCACCTTACTATAAAGAGAACATGTAGAATGATATATTATTTGAATAACTATATTCCCCACTGTCCTCAAAAAACAAAAACGAAAAGGGAATCTGTTTTTCAGATTAACAAATTTCATCAGTGTTCTGTATTAATTATAAAAAGAATATCAATTTTATATACCACACACTCACTCTGAAATACCCGACACATAAGACTAATTCTTCATTCTTTTTTTTTTTAATAAAATTAAAATAAATAAATTGTTAGAATAAACTTAAACACTTAAAATATTAAAACTATTGTTTTAATATTTTGGGAAATAGGGAAGTCATGCTGTTGCTGCAAGGCATATAAATTCCAACCTGCACTACACATACACAGAGCTTTTAACTGTAGGGTATTTAAATAAAATAATGTTCTGAAATAATCTCTCTTGAGGTCTTTCAGGTCGTACTAAATCAATCCATGAATTTCATATGTTTAGCTATTAATCTACTTGCATTAAATAAGGCTCCTTACAATGGGGAGGTTTGTGACAATTCTATTAAAATTAGAGCTGGCTACATTTTGCCCTCCTCCCCTTTCACCGGCAAAAAAAAACTTGGAAATGCGCAAAATGAAACCATTGAAATGTTTTAATATTATTACAAATAAAATAACAAAATGTATAATTTTAGTACTGAAATATTAATTCAAAACTCCAATCTCATCCCAACAAACACACACAAACATGTACAAGAAACAACGAAAGTACAAAACGAAGGAACTGATATAAAATACCTGCTTTGTTTGCTAGCATTGACAACTTCATTTCATCACAATAAATGGTTAAGTCACCACAAATAAAGCTCTGACAAACAAAACTGGCCGAGTTATCTCAGATCCAGCAATACCGCTGTCTCTGAAGTCCTAGGCTCGAGTCCCGACCTGTGATGAAATTTCGATTCTTGCAGTGGCCAGCTGTTCAGTTTGGTAGTTTTCCTTGATCTGTCAAATCACTGTTTGGCATTTCCCGGAACGTATCCTAACAAATGGGCCACGACTATACTCTTAAGCCACTCGTGTCTGGAGAACACCACCTAGGTGGCATTGAGGAGACCAATAGGAAGCTTAGAACTTGTCCTGACTAGAGCGGTACCTAGTTGGGCTGGGGGAGATTCCTGTAAGAGTACCCGACGTGAAGATCGGCACCAGAACTCACATAAATTTGTTACTTAATTACCGAAAAATAACACTGAAAAATATACATAAAAATTTAATATACCGGTAATGATTTACGAGTTTGAAATTGTAAAACTGGGGAATAGTTTAAACCCTTGGATGCACCATGTACTTACTGGATTCAATTTAATTTTTCAAACGACGAAAACCATAATTTACAATGAAATAAATTCAAAAAGGAATATTTCCCCTTAAAATTCCAATATATCCCATGGATCAAGCTTTTATAAACAATCATTTTTTCTTCTTCTTTTCCTTTTACTTAAACTTTGCAGAAAATTAAGTCACAGAATTTTTTTCGAATCAATTTGGGTTGGTTACTATCTCAATATCACAAACCATGTTTTCTTACACTCACATTTACATTTTCATATCACATACTCTGCTGAGCAATACATCTGTCTACCTAAAAAAGCCTTTAAAATGGATAAACTTAATTAAACAACTTCACTAATGGGCAATAAGAAAACCCTACTGACAAAAGAAAACACTTCGGCTGATTTAAAGCATATTGATTTTCTTTTAATGTGAAGGTTGTGCCTTCTGTTAATTAATCTGAATTATTAATTAGTCCATTAATCTGATATGATTACTCTGAAAAGTCCATTAATTAATCTGAAATAAAAATGATGTTATTTATAAAGTTTTTAAATTCGTTCTCTTTATGATACTCATAGTTTTCTAATTTTCAACATGGAAAGAAATATTTAAGTAATTATAAAATCCATTTAGTATGTATAAATGAGCCTAATGAAGTAAAGAAGAATTATAAACTTGATCATAGTTGTTTCATTAACTCAGTTCAAATTAAATGCCTCTCACTAATTGCATGCTATTATATTCAAAAAACAAATGAAATTGATGGATTATTCCATGATTTTCAACATCTTCCCATGATTTACTATTTTAAGCATGTAACATAAGTAAACAAATGTAATTCTTAACTGAATACTTTAAATAATAACTTACCATTTGTGTGATCATTCAAAAACATCTCCACCATTCGTCCTGGTTCCAGCATGCAGAACAGAGAAGTCTGAGTAGAACTGTCAACAATGCTTACTTTTCTTGCCGGTAACACTAATGTTTTTTCAATTCTTGGCATCTCTTTAGCTCTTTGCATATCTTGTTGAAACTTCAAGGCAATTTTTCTCCTACGCATTATTTCATCAATATTTGCTTTAGGAATTGTTGCAGCATTACAACTTGCCACATTTTGTGGAGCATTAACAATAACAATGTTTTGAATAGAATTTTGACTCTCATTGTCATAAATATTATTTGAGTCAATAAGAGAACTGCTGTGTGACTGACGCCCAATAACAGAAGGATCTAAATGTCCCTTATCCAAATTTTCCTGGCAAACAATAAACTTGGGCTCAGTTGAACTGAGGTTACCAGTTTTCTGATGTGCAGAGGTACTACAAACATTAACAATAGTGGGTGTTGTAGAATCTGCTGGCACAAATTTCAATTTGCCCTCTTTCATGACCGACTGATTTTCAACATGCAAGCCACTCTCAGCTCGGGCGCGATTTATGGGGGACATTATTCAGAAATTCGATCACCAACAACACTTACATTGCCTTCAGGCAGATTCATTTTTGAGAAGATGTATCTATTAAAATATGATTATTTGTTTTCAATGGGTTCATTGCAAGGTAATTTCTCTCCGTTAATAGATGCATCATGAATGTTTGGCAATATTCCAGACCCAACTTTTGGAATACTTTAGAAGCCCGTTCCAACAATACTTCTCTTTTTTTTGGGTTATCATAGTAAAAGGACGTAAGATTGACGTTGTACTGTTGTGGGAACAAAAGTAGATATGGGCTTATGTATTTGAACTTCTTTCTTCTTTGAATCAATATGACAATCATCGCAAACTGCATGAGCATGTTCTAGTTTGTTTCCAACAGGCACTTCACGAGATGTAAATTTCATTTTATGAGGTAGTGTAGAGGATTTTTGCGAGGTTTTGAAATGATGTTCCCTCTTCTTTCATCATCACCTTTTTTTCAACATTCTTTTGAGCTGCCTTGACGGATAGTAAACATCTTAATTCTCTTGGTTTTGCAGATACTGGATTATGACAGAAGTAATTGAAGGAATACATTTTAACTGAGATGTATTAACCTCACTCTGAGCAAGTATCACTTCAGTTCCTTTCACAGAAGTGCCTACATTCTGGGGCACCTTCGCTGCTTTTAAATAATAAAACTTTTCTTCCATTGACAAATTAGAATCAAATACTTTAATAGAGTTAGCAATAACATTCTCTGGTAAATTGTTAAGAGTGATTTTATCGGAGCAAATAGACTTTGGTGCAGGTACCAACAATTTTGACGACAGCTCTTTCGGTCACTACAATAATATCTTTACAGGTAGTGCTGATGCTACCAGTTGAATGTTCTGAATACTTGTAGATGAAATTTTTGGTGATGTAGACGAATTTTTGGAATATTTGATAAATAATTTATTTTCATTTGGGACTTGTAACTGGACTTATATCTGCCATGAACTCTTTTAGTGAAAAATTCTACCTTCAGGAACATCATGCTGATACTTCACCACTTTCTAACTTTTTTTCTGATGCTAAGATCTTCCTTGTTTTGATGGCAGTGGTTATATCGAATTCCTTATTATCACATTTCCTACCATCTTCATCTGTGTCATAAGCAACATCAGTTGTTAAATGATTAGCATTGCTTCTCTTACTCATACTTGTAGCAGTATGTTTAACAGTATATCTTATTCAAACTTTCAAATGAAGTTTTGTCAATATATTTCACTTGGAACAAAAATATCGATCACAATTGAAAGAAAAAATTGTTTCTTAGGAAATTTCACTTGACACTGCACAAAAAGCAATTTTCATTTCTTCTGTAATGTTGACAATGGAAGTAGAGTCCATAATGATGAGAAGTAAGCAATTCTGAAATTAAAAATTCGTTTAAATAAGAAAACACAATCAAAACCACATATATAAACAGCCAAGTAAGTAAAGTAATCTTTATGAAGGACCATACATAATATCTGTTGCCTGGAATTAATTTTGTTTGTACTGCTGATATGTAAAATATTATAACAATGGTATTATTCAAATTACAGTAGAATTTGCTATAAATAAATAAAAAATAGATATAATTTAATTCTCTCCCTTATATTATTTTGCTCAAACAATCTATTCATCTATACAATTCTTTAATTCTAACATTGAAATGAATGATAGAATTGTCTTCAATACAAAGCTGAATATTAATTCATTGTGCTATTACTTTTTTCTTCGATTGATCTGGTTTTAATAAGCAATGAATTAAAATGTTTCTGGGACTTCACTAAAACAAGGCACCTGTTAATACTCATAATTTATGAAGCTAATTAACAGTTTTTTCGGAGTAACCTGATATTGGCCTGAAAGTACCTTTGTTGAGCAACGTAACATACTGTTGGAAGAATTACATAAATAAATTTCGGAGATTCAAAATTTGCATTTAACACAGAATACCAAGAAGCAGGGATGAATGAACTTGAATTGAAACAAGCTATTAAATAGAACTATTTGCAAGATGATAGTACATTAAACATTCCCGGGGAAAACAGAAAAAGAGTAATCACTAAAAAAGTAGATGCTTAATTCATAAATACCTGTTTCAACTTGCAGTTAGAATATGTACACACTTTCGTACACAGCAACACACATGCTCATGAACATAGTTATCGATCACACTTTTGGTACTTCCCCCACATATGCATGTTACGAACTCGACGAGCGAGGGGACTTCACCGCGTAACGAAGCGACGTCACCTCAACTGCGCATGCTCGAGCCATTGCCACAACCCAACCGCGCATCAAATAACTAAATTAAATAAAATTTAAAAAGAAAATGCTTCCCTATGAATATTAATTACGTAATGTTCTTGAGCAATGTTTAGTATATACTTAATTTTAAAATTAAAACAATGAATGTTCTTCGTTATTATACAAATAAATGTATTCTTGTAGGTATGCCATCTTTGGAAAAATAAATTTTAGCAATGCGTTTTGTATTGAAAAATCATAACACTGTCGTAGTTTACATCCTAAAAACTATTTCTTGAAGAACAAACCTTTTAATTTAATAATTCAATGTTTACGAAAGTACAGAAGTAAGAAAATTTTAAAAGCATTTCTCATCGCAAGGAATAACTTGAACAAAGAATATCTATAAAAATACTTGTAGCTCTAGCTCTTTCTAGCCTCTGAGGACCGAATGGAGGGATCTTGTTCTAGCCTTTTCACTTACAGTACATCTTAAGTAAAAACACATCGAAAACTGAACCGCTTTCCGTCATGAATATTTAAGATTCTGCGTATGATGAAAACACTAAGATAAATTTACTTTCTAATTAAATTATGGTAAGTTATAAAAATCCCTCCTTTCTTTGATAAAAAAAATCATACCACGTTTATTACTAAAGATGTTTAGTGTGACTGTCTGAAATTAACCTCAAACGAAAACAGCAGAAAGGATAGATTTGTGATAGTTCACAGGAAAGGATAACATTTGTGATAGTTCACAAATTATCACGATTTTAGCTGCTTATTTATTTTATATTTATTTGTTTATGTCAAAAACCGTTAAAAATTGTGTGTGACGTGCTATGGGGGGAAGTTATTTTTGAAGTTACATTTATGTCCAGAAGCAAAACAAGGGGCCATCTCAACATTTGCTAGAGGGTAATGGAAACTGGACGAAAACCTGATCGAGATGGGGGTCATTGACCCAGAAGTTGAACAATACTTGTTACAGGTTCTTTACAATTATACAATCCAAATGATAAATAATACATTAAATGTCATTGTTAAAATTAATATTACTTTCTTTTCGGATGCTCGGTATGGTATTCAATGGTATACTACCCATATTTGTTTAGCTTCATTCTACTCCTTAATGATGGTGAAAGAATAATGATAAGTGACTCATGAACGTAATGATTGTGTGTTGGATGTGAACATCTGAGTTGTTTTGAATAATAACTGATACACTGTATTTTAACTCAAAGTAGTAAAAAAAAAATTTAAAAAGAACCTGTACTTAACCAGACAACTTAAATAAAATGAAGTGGCATTTATTTTAGAAGAAATAAAAACATATCACTTGATATACTTTTAATTTCATTTATGATGATGTAAGTTCTATATAGTAAATACAAGTAAATATTGAGAAGACCTATTCCTGTGTGTTGTGGATATTTGCTACATATTAACTTTTTATCAACAAATTGTTCAACATTACTGGGTACATATTATGATGAATGAGAGTACTGTCTTCTCACAAATAGTTCTGATATTAAATTACTCATTTTTTAGTTTGGTGTATTTCTCATTTCAAAAATGAATAATTGTTGAAATTTAATTACCAGCCTTCAAAAAGCACAATTTTTCTATCCCAGACCCAGCTTTGGATGTAATTCTCAATTCAGATCTGTTACTGACATTGTGAATGTCAGGTAGATAAAACCAATGCAGAAGAATCCACTCGGGGAGTATTTTGTTTCTCTTGGCAGACAAATATTTTTATTACATTGTACCAACATAGATAATACACTAAGAATTAAAATTCATAAGAGGTAATACCAGATTTTTTATACCAAACTTAATTTTTTATGAAAATAAATAATCTTTTTATGCCATAACATTACTTCAGTTTTGTCTAGGTTTATCACTGATACTAGATGGAGATTGTTTTTAGTTTACGGGGGGGATGGGCCATTTGAGGGTGGGTGATCTATCATTGCCCTGTCCTAAAGATGGGAATGAGGATAGGTAAGGAAAGAAGAACCACCTGGTCCTTGGCCACATTCTACATGTTGCTCTGGTATTCACCTGTAAGTGGACAGAGAAACCACAGGACTCACAGAGCAGAGAGAAACTAAACGTAGGGGAAAGTTGTTTTTTTCCATTCAAAGAAGGGGAATCTCCGCCCCTTGAAATTTAACTGCAAGTAGCTGTACAAATAAACCATCAGTATTCAAGCTAATTTCCTTACTAGATTAATTTTAGAGCATATATTTAGTTTTTTTCAGATTCATTTGGCTTTGCTTATAAATCAACTAATATTACTATACAGAAAATAACATCAATAATTACTAAAATTAAGAATTTACATTTGTTGTAAAATTTGTAGAAAATTTCCTTTTCGTTTGTTTGAAATACTTCAGAAAAATTCTCTGTTACTAAAGGGAAAAAATGTTTATTCATGACGACTCCAAAAGTGTGATGGCATCTTACAATTTTTGGATTAGGTACACCAATTTGTACATAAGTAGGTAGGTTCATTATTAAATTTCCATAATATTTTTTAGAACATTGCATCTTAAGCTAATTGAATAAACTAAGTAACTCGAGGTTTCTTTCAAAGATGACTAGTCATAGCAAAAAATAATCTGGTTGTCACGTACCAGAAATCTGTTCAATAATGATGTTATATAGGTCCATGATAATACTGCTACACAAATATCGAAGAAATTGCTGACGTGGTGCTAGTGTAAGTGCTTAATTGAGGTGATTTAATTTTCCAAAAAATGTGCTGGTATTGTTTTTCATTGTGATCAGTAACTTATATGAAGTTGTGTAATCAAATATATACATTCTAACTTAACAAATACTAAAGTTTTAATTTCTTTAAAAAACAACACATTTAAGTTACTTTAATAAGTTCCACCTTTTTTTTTTTTTTTTTTAATTGGAATAACATACACATAAAATGTTCATTGCAAATCAATGTTTGATGTTTAGAAGCTTAAGATTTGTTTTTATGGTTTAATTTAATTTATTATTGTGTACATACTTCAGTTTAGAATTCATTTTAATTTCTTGATGAATGAATATTATAAGTAATTACAGAGACCATTATATTTCACCAATCTTTGACACATTTTTCACCTTCCTGATGTACCAAGTATTATTACACAATTAGTAGGTATAAAATAATTTTAACCGACATTATAAATATATTTATGGTTTTGATAAAACAATTTGTAGTAAATTCAAATTTAGGATAACACATCTGCTGTGTTCCATTAATATCTTTCAGAATCCCCTTAATAATATTGAAATGTTACAGTTCATCTATAATGAAAATGAATATAGGAAAAATAAGCTTAAAAATATCAAATATTTCATATGTCCTTGATCTAATATAAAAAGCTCTCTGAAAAATCACTACAACTCAGGAGGGTCTGAGTCTGCTTGTGCGTTTATCAATACACGTCAGGATCCCTTGGGACTTAACATCTATAAATAACTATGTATATGATATTAAGATGAAATGTGATCACTGGAAAACATTTACACGAAACCATTAATATCAATTGGAAGGTCTAAAGTGTTGTGCTCTACAAAATTATGCCAGATCACTGAAAAAAGGGAGAAAAAGAAAGAAAAAACAACGAAATAACCCAAATCAACAGCACAGTGGCAGTCAAAACCATTGAATGTAAACGAATTGCGTGCAACACAAGTGACGAATTGGGGCATGGGAACACGTGCTGAACAAGGGTGTTCTGGTGGGATAGAGGTAAGTTTCAAGTGGTTTTCATATTTGCGATCTTAGGAGTACACGCGCCTAAGAGAAGTGATATCTTATCTCTACGCAAAGAAAGTATTTGAGAAAAGCCTTATCAATTTTCTGCGAATAATGTCATGTTTTCTGAGAATCACACCATTTCTCCGAGAAAATTTCTACAATATGATAGATCTTGTACACAATTCAACACCATTGAGAAGACTAATTCGTAAGCAATTCGTTTCTGTTTCATGTTGACTGTTTCGAGCTGAAGCAAAGAAAAAATAAATGGCATATCGCGTCCTGCGACGTAGAAGGAGAATGCCTGACACAATTTTCTGTTTCTCTGTGGATTTGCTAGATGCATTAGGTGCTGCAGTAGGACTAGGTGTACAAATGGAAGAAGAAAAAAAAATGGTCAAAACCTGACACCATTTCATGTTCTGAACATAGAATGTACTAATATAGTTAAATTTTACGTAGTTGCTTCCAGAATTGATATATTTATTATTATTATTAATTATTATTATTATTATTATTATTATTATTATTATTATGTTAATCTCGGATTTTAGTTACATTTATTAAAAATCATTCGTTTCATTTTCACAAAACTTCATCTCTTTTGATGGCGTTAATGTTAGCAAGTTAAAACAAAATATTTAATCGTTTATCGCGATGAAAAATGTAAAATTAAGAAACTTCTGTTCAAGTAACTTCGTGTTACAAATATCAGAAGTAGGTGTTGCATTTCCAATGGGTAAAAACGAATGTTTAAAGGAGAATATGTCAAAAATTGCCCAAAGGAGATAACAACAAAAAAGTTTTCTTTCGGTCTAAAAGTGTAGATCTAAAACGTAAATCTCTGGAATTGTTCAAAGCTTACGTACGCCTATACTTGTTAGGTCAAAAGAAAAAGGATTTATCCCTCTTACTTGTTTCTACACAGTTATTAAAGTTTGTACTGATCATCAAAAAGAAAAAAATGTTTTCTTTAACAAAACTAATGATATGCAATGCATTAGTTTTACATTCTTATAGTATAATCTTAAAGAAAGACTTAATATGCATGTAACAAGTAATGTCATGCTCTCATGCCCCCATAACAAATAATGTCGACCCATCCCGATCAAGTTTTCGGCCAGTTTTTCTGATCCACTGAAAAAATTCTAAGATGGCCCCTTGTTTTGCTTATGGGCAAATATGTAGCTTCAGTATCCGCAAGGTTTGTTGAACTCTCCTTTTGTTTGTAGTGGTAGGAGTAGACCTGTGGGTAAGTTACTATTTTGTTAGCAATGTAGAAAAATCA